TGTGTGTTTGCCTTGTTATGTGTTGTCTTTTTGCTTTTGTCGTTTGTGTCGGTGTTCTGTTAGTTGTTGTGTTTTTAGGTTTGGGTCGATTGACCTCAGTTAGCCCGATTGTCACTTTGTGCGCCCGAGTGTCACCTTATTACCCTGTTGGGGTCCGACACTCAGGTATTACCCTGTTTGGGTTTTTATTTTATGTGTTTTTTGGTATTACCCTGTTGGGGTCTTTCTATTTTTGTGTTAGTAGTGTGCTAGTTTTCTAGCGTTGTTAGTTGGTATTCGGTCTAAGTTACATTGGTGGCGTGTAACCTCTCATTTCCCCGGCTTCGGGGCTCATCTGTGTAATTTGCCTTTTTGGCCCTTTTTTTTAATGAGTATGTTTATGTCGTTGAAAAAAAAAAGAATATAACAAAAAACCCTACCAAAAATTATTTCTTTCACCTTTCTCTAAAATAAAGGAGATAATACTTTGATGTTCTTCCACCATCAACACATTTTTTTTTTTTTACAATATGGAATTCAAAGTTTATGTGTAATGATCTTATTATGCTTTTTTCTTTTTGAAGAGAAGAACACGATCGTGATCGTCGTAAGCTTTCATGAGAACGATTTTTATATAAAATTTGTTTTGAAAAAAAGTAGATAACACAAAAATTATGGTCATTTACTATCTAAGGATATTTTAGGTATTTAAATTATTTATTTAGGTCTATTAATGAATAAGTCATTTAATAAAAAAAAACTATTCATAAGGTCATTTGACCAATTTAGTTTTTTGACTAGGTCTTCTAAATAAAGAACCCGAACAAGAACTACGAAATCATCCTCGTATTGTAGTGTTACAAATATACCACCTCCAACATCTAAGAGCTATTTAAAAATGGTAGTCTGATCTAACCATTAGATAAACGGCTCTCTACCCAACCTTACCTAAGTAAGGTAAAGCAGTTTGCAACTCCGATCCCGTTAGTCTGATCTAACCATTAGATAAACATAATCTTTTCAAAATACGCATAATTTTATTAAAAATTACGTAACTTGTAACGACAAATTATTTGAAGTCCCATCGAGCTTGACGAATTCGTATCAATTAATTTTATTTCAAGCCTAATCGGCGTACCAAAATTGTATCAACAAACTTTATGAAAAACACAAATTTTTTGTACAACTTGATTTTATTTTGATCAAATGATTTGCACTTGCAATCTCTATGTTTCTCATCTGATTCTTCTCTCATTGGATTTGAGCTTGGGATATTCGAAGTTGATTTGACAATTGGATCACCATCATGTTTGAGCTTGAATTTGACTAACGCTAAATGGGGAGTTGAATGTGTAACACTCCTCCTTATCGTTAAATCAGAGTGCGAAAAATTCGCAAAGTTATTTAAAAATGAAGCCTTTTTACTTTGCGAAAACTGATTCGGGGTGCTACCTTAAAATCGTGACTTAATTTAGAAAACCGTTGTTCTAATTTTAATCAAATCGTCCGGTTACCGAAAGCATAAGTTTCTTAAAAGTTTATCAAAAGATAAGTTCGTCAAAATGAGTACGTCAAAAGTCATCAAAAACATCGTCACAAGTCATCAAAATATCATTAGCGGAAGCGT